CCCCCCTCCTCCCAGGGAGCCGAGAGCGGGAGCCTGTGTCTGGGCCTCGGGAAAGCGGGAGCGCCTCCCCGCCCTTCTGCCTCGCTTTCCCCCCAGTTCCTACCCCTGCCCATCCACGTGGCCCATCTCTGTAGACGCACTTCCGGAAAACGCCAGGCAAAGGGACGTCGGGTCAGACCCTTCTCTTCCGGCTTCGAGAGCAAAGCCCCAGGCCTGACCACAGCAGACGTGCCCCACGTACAACGCCCACGCACGGGTCGCGCTCTCTGGCCCCGAGAAACCCACACCTCGAGGACACACACAGGTTGTACCACCCGTGCGTCAGGCAGAAATAGCCTGCAGCCAGTCTCCTCATACATTTATACGTGCATGCGCGCGCGCGCACACGCTCACACACACACACACACACACACGCGCGCGCGCGCGGGAATACGCATGCACACACTCTCCCTCCTTCCCATCTGGGCTCTCTGGGTCTGCTTATGCCTCCCATCAAGACTGGAGGTGAAGGTGGGTGGGTTCACCAAGAAAGGGGTGGTTGGAGGCTACTGGGAGGACTGAGCTAGCTTCCTTTAGACCTCTGCCCTTCCCTACCTTTCCTGCTTGATTGCAAAATGATTCTGGTCATTCTTTCCTAGGCTCTGCTCCTCTCTGTGATGCTGGGCCCGTCAGGCCAGTGGTTCTCAACTCAGGATGATTCTGGTCTCCTCTCCCCCTATGCCAGGGGATGTTCAGCAATGTCCAGACGTTTCTGGTCATTATACTTTGGGGAGGACGGGGGAGTTGCTACTGGCTGGCGGCTGGAGGCCAGAGCTCTGCTCAGTGCCCTGCAGTGCATAGGATGGCCCCACCACGGAGAATGACGTGGCCCCAAATGTCAACAGTGCCCGGATCGAGAAACTGCTTTAAACCATGAGGACCGTAGGAGCTAGGGCAACCCCTCCAGAGAAACAGCAGGAGACGGAGACCAAGGAGGCTCGAAGTCTGGGGCCTCTGCCTTCCTTCCACCACACCTGTGGGCTCTGCGGCCGAGTTAGCCGCAGCCCAGCTCCTCACCTCCACTCCCTCCTTTGGCCCGGTCCGCCCTCCTCTGGGAGATCAGGAGGTAGCGCCTCCCACAGCAGGGGAAGCAGAGGGTGGCTCGCCAGGTAAACCGGGAGGGAAAAAGAGGCGCCAGCCGCCCCGCTCGGGGTTGGCCCTGCAGCACCCATACCTGCATCCACGTCGTTGGGCCACCCACTGGACTGGCTGCTGCCAGCTGCTGGGGAGCGGCCTGTGCCAGGATAGAAGACATCATCGACAGGGCTCTCCATCTCGCTGTCATCGATGGACTTGGGGCGCTTGGTGGTGCTGGGGAAGAGGATCAGGCGGGACGAGGGAAGATTGACGTACCGGCACCCGAACTGCTCCCCGGTTCGCGCCGGTGACCCGCCGGGTGGGGAGCAGGCGCCTGATGACCGCAGCATTCCCAAGCACTCGCTACGTGCCTTCGCCTGAGACCAGACGGGCCCTAGAGTCCCTCGGGACCCCGCAGGTCTGCTCCTCCTCCTCGAACCCCTTCTCGGCCCGTGATACCTTCATCCGCAAACCCCCCCTCAACTGCTTCTGTGGTCCCACCTTCTATTTCCCATCAGCCCCCAGGGACAGGGCAAGTCGAGAGGCGCTCTCCAGGGACAAAAATGCCAAGGGGTGCTACGGAATTCAGGCAGCAGGACACTGTGTTCTTTTATGTCAAAATATCACTAACACGAGAACGTTATAACATCGTAGTGCGATACTTTAACCAATAAAAATAAATTCCCAAAACCTCACGATGAACCAAACGTTCAAGCTTTTTAAAAAAGCACAGGGTCCCTTCCTGCCCCTGAACAACTGGCCCTGACAAGGGCCGAACGTGCCCACCTCCCCAAAACCTCTCAGCTCCGTCCGGTCCTCTCACGCCACTCCCCTGCCCAACTGAGGCCCTCCCCTACTCCAGCCTGCTGGGAGGGCCTCTAACTGGCTGTCAGCCCCGCCCACACGTGCTGCTGCTAGGGGTACTTTCTAGAACACAAATCCCCAGCATCTCCTGCTTAAAACCTAAAACCCTTCAGTGGGTTTTACGTCTAAACACCCTCCGCTGGCCTCCAAAGCCCTCTTTGGGGGTCCCACCCGGACGTCCATCCTCGCCTGGGACAGAGGCTGCTCTACCTGGAGCACCCACCCCGTGCCTGTAACAGCCCCCGTACGTCTGGGCTCATGTCACTTGCCCAAGAGAGAGGCCTTCTCAGATCCCCACAGGGAGTGCCCTGTAGGCAGAGCTGGGCCCCGCTGGGGCTTATGTCCCCAGCACCAAATGCCCAGCGACAGCACAAAGCAGGAAGCTCAGGGGGCTGGCGGCACGCTGGGCCCGGGCTGCTCTGGAGTCAACACCCTCAACAAGGGGTGATAGCTGCCTGCAGCCCCCGAGACGGCCTGGGGATCGGAGGGGAGGGCCAGGGTCCTGGGCTCACCTGGTGGAAGGAGGGGAGGTGATGGACCGCCGCCCCAGGGTCACCTGGTTTATGTTGTAGTAGCTGGGACTCTCCAGGTCCGCCAGTGAGAAGTTGGGCCCTGATGCTGTGGCAACAGGAGCTGGGAAAAGGCGAGAAGGTGATGAGGTTTGGAAGGTGTGGAAGGCTCAGTGGGGCCTGTTTTGTTGTCACGAGCAGCTCCCCAGAAGCCTCCTCCTGGCTGGGCGGCGGGGCCGGGGGGGGGGGTCTTTGGGGAAGAGCCCTTGGTTATGATTTTGTTTTCCTCCAAAACAGTGGAGATTAGAGATAGGGCTCTCTGGGCATCTCTGCTCCACCTAGCCCAGTACCAATGGGCAGAGTGTCCCAGGAAATCCTGTCTGCCCCCTACTAGGACCCCACCAGCTGGAGGGGGACACATGGGGTCCGAATCCCCCCTCCTTACACCCCCGGTCTGCTGAGCTCAGCCACGGCTGGAAGAAAGAACTCACTTACTCTGTGATACTCTCACCAGCTCCGTCACATTCCAGACCCCGGAAGTCACAAAACAGTCCTGGAAACTTAAGTGCCCTGAAGAGTGGAAAGGACAAGTGAGTGAGTCAGGCAAGGCTCGGAGGGGCTACCTGCCTGTCTCCCCAAAGCTCTCCCCACTCTTGCTTCGACTCGCTTCCTCCCAAGCCTCGTGGTCCAGATACAGGCCGGCCCTCAGGGCCCTCACGTCTACACGGAGGACCGAGCATGCTTCAGGGGAACCCCACCCCCTTGGCCATCGGCTGAAGTTCAGCTGAGGAACAGCTGAGTCGAGGGGAAGAAATGGGGGCAGACAGGAGGCCAGGTTGGCCAGGGTGTTGGAGGGCAGAGGAGGGCGAGGGGGGCAGGGCAGGCCCAAGAGGCCAGGCGTGGGCCAGCGGGAGTTGTGGAGGGGCACTGACCGTTGGGCAGTGGTTTGATGTCCGCATCTCCTTGCTGGTTTGAACTATCTGATTGTCCGGATTCTGCGGGAGACACAAAGGGGAGAAGAGGTCAGGATCGAAGCGCCCCACCAACGCCAGCCAAGGAGCTGCGCCTTCAGCCCTGCAAACACCTTCACAGCACCCTCTCCTCGGAGGGGAGCAGCCTGGGGGGACCTGGAGAGAGGAGGAAGACAGTGCTACTGACAGTGGAGCCAGACCATTCTCCGCGGCGGGGCATCCTGGGCACCGCAGGGTGTGTCTGGCAGGAGCCCTGGCCTCCACATTCTAGATTCTAGTAGCACCCCAGTGTGCCAACCAGAACTGCCTCCATGCACACTGCCCCGTGCGCCCCGGGGGGCGAAGTCGCCCTCAAGTGGGCAGCAGTGGCTGAGAGCCAGGGCAAGGAGGGTGCCCGTGAAAGAAGCCAGTGACCGCCTCTCTGCACAGCTGGGACGAACCCCAGGGTCCCCCATCCTCCGCTCAGCCCAAGCCCCCAGAGGAGCAGCCCCGTCCTTCTCTCACTTCATTAATTACAGCCATTCCTGTCAGCCTGAACCACCCCCACCTCACCTTTATGCTTACAGGCGGTGCCTGGCAACACAGAGGGGGGAGGCTCGCCCCAACGCTGTCGCCCGCTCTGTGCCAGCCTGTCTGGGCTGTCTCATGCCCCGGTGCCACAGCTGCTCAGAGGGAGCCCCGAGACAAGGGCCCATTGTGCGGTGGGAGCTCACAGAGGGCTGGGGCAGGGTGGAGTGTGTGTGTGAATATTTTGCTGAGCTTGGGAAAGCCCCCCCCCACCCCCGCCC